CATTCCAAACCAATTCCAAACCCATTCCAAACTCATTCCAAACCAATTTAAACCCATTCCAAACCAGTTCCAAACCAATTCCAATTCCAAACCAATTCCAAACCCATTCCAAACCAATTCCAAACCCATTCCAAACTCATTCCAAACTTCCAAACCAATTCCAAACCAATTTAAACCCATTCCAAACCTATTCCAAAGCAATTCCAAAGCAATTCCAAACCAATTCCAATTCCAAACCAATTCCAATTCCAAACCAGTTTAAACCAATTCCAATTCCAAACCAGTTCCAAACCCATTCCAATTCCAAACTCATTCCAAACCAATTCCAAACCTATTCCAAACCCATTCCAAACCAATTCCAAACCCATTCCAAACTCATTCCAAACTCATCCCAAACCCATTCCAAACCAGTTCCAAACCAATTCCAATTCCAAACCCATTCCAAACCAATTCCAAACTCATTCCAAACTCATCCCAAACCCATTCCAAACCAATTCCAAACCAGTTCCAATTCCAAACCAATTCCAAACCAATTCCAAACCCATTCCAATTCCACACCCCTCATCCAGACCGTTTTTCCAGAAAAAAATGAAGCAATTAACAGGAAATTAATTAAGAACGACACAAATCCCGAGCTCTCCTCTCACCTTCCTACTGCAGAGCAGTCCCGGCCTCCGTCCCCGATCCCGGCGCTTCCTCGGTTTCCCTGGATTCCTCCTGCCGAGGAAAAGGGCAATTCAGGGATTTGGATTTTTTGGGAATTTTGGGAAGTGCTGGACGTCGATATCCGATTATCCAGCGGGAAATCGGGAATCTGAGATCAGAACATCGGGGAAGCCGCGCAATCCGTCCTTCGATTTTAGAAATCCCAGCGAAAGGGGAAATATTTGGGTCTAAATCCAGGGGTTTTTTTGAGGGGGAAATGAGGAAAAATCCCATTTTTGGAGGGGAATATGAAGGAGAGGAAGAATTTGTAATGTTTTTTGAGGAGAACGAGGAGCTGGAGAGGGGTTTGCTCCATTTTTGGGGTGAAATGTGAAGAACAGGAGCCGTTTCCTCCGTTTTTGGAAGGGAATCAGGACAGGGAGAGGTTTTTATTCCCATTTTTTTGGGGGGAATATGAAAAAGAGAAGCATTTTCCCCCCATTTTAGGGGGAAATTTTTCTTCTTTAGTGAAGAAAAGAAGATTTTTGCCTCGTTTTTGGGGTGAAATGTGAAGAACAGGAAGGAGTTTGGCTCCTTTTTGGGAGGGAAAATGAGACAGGGAGAGATGTTTGCCCCATTTTGGAGGGAAAATGTGAAAAACAGGAGCTGTTTCTTCAATTTTTGGGAAGGAAATGAGGATTTGGAGAGGTGTTTACCCCATTTTTGGGGGGAAATATGAAAAAGAGGAGGAATTTCTCCCATTTTAGAGAAGAACATGAAGAATAGGAGATTTTTTGCCCCATTTTTGGGAGGAAATGAGGATTTGGAGAGGTGTTTGCCCCATTTTTGGGTGGAAACGAGGATTTGGAGAGGTGTTTGCCCCATTTTTGGGTGGAAATGAGGATTTGGAGAGGTGTTTCCCCCATTTTTGGGTGGAAACAAGGATTTGGAGAGGTGTTTGCCCCATTTTTGGGAGGAAATGAGGATTTGGAGAGGTGTTTCCCCCATTTTTGGGGTGAAACATGAAAAAAAAAGAGAATTTCCCTAATTTTAGTGAAGAACATGAAGAATAGATGCTTTTTGCCCCATTTTTGGGTGGAAATGAGGATTTGGAGAGGTGTTTCCCCCATTTTTGGGAGGAAATAAGGATTCGGAGAGGTGTTTCCCCCATTTTTGGGGTGAAACATGAAAAAAAAAGATAATTTCCCCCATTTCAAAGGAGAACACAAAGAGGAGGAGGAGGAAGAATTTCCCCTATTTTAAATAAACATGATTTTTTTGGGGGGGGAAGGAATATAAAATAATATAAACAATATAAAACACTCCAGTGACTTTTTAGCACAGAAACCCTCGGCCTGCCTCGCTCCAGCACATCCTGGCAGGTTGAATTTCCAGGAAAACCTCGTTCCCAGGCTGCAGGAACGAGCTGAACTTGGGAGAGCTCCCAAAACTTTGTTGGGAACCCCTCGTGCTTCATGTCCGAGGCTGCCCTGGCCCTTTCCCAGTAAAACATTGCTCAACCCCGAGCCAGGATGAATTCCAAGAATCCATGGGAGCTGAAATCCAAGGCTGGTTGTTTTCCCTGCTCGCTGCTTGGACGCAAACAGTTGGGGTTGTGGGGTGGGTTTTTTTTTGTTGTTGTTGTTTTGGTTTTGTTTTTCTGTCAAATCCACGTCAGTGATTCCGGGCTGGGGGTCAGGTCAGGGCTCCTCTCTTCCTCCTCCTCCTCCTGTGGATTCAGGGATGGGAAACAGCCCAAAAAAACCCAGTTTAAAGTTGCTGGGGTTTTGTTTTTAAACCCAATTTAAAGTTGGTGAGTTTTGTCTTTAAACCCAGTTTAAAGTTGGTGAGTTTTGTTTTTAAACCCAGTTTAAAGTTGATGGGGTTT